CGCACATGCGCACTCCTAGGGTACATTCCCATTTCGGTTGCCTTCGGTAAACGATCATTGAGTATAGGATATTTTAGTGGTCGCTCTCTTGTCTAAATAAAGATCAAAGTCCCGTTCGGAAAAGTTGCCTTGGAATGGTTTCCTCGGATATTGTTGCCTCGAATATTGATCTTAAGACATTAGGGTTATCACTAAGACGTCCTAACATTGCTTTAGTGATCGTACGTCCCATTCGAATTGACCCTTAAAACTCCAACGACGGTGCTACCTACTCACTAATAGTGGGATAGCACTGTCTAAAGGAAACAAGAACAGAAACATTCTCTTTTCGAGTAGGTAGATTAGCTCTTAAGTACTTGCTCAAACAAACAAACTTTTCACACCATACACTTTCAAACAAACTTTTCAAACTAAAGTTTTCAAAACGACTTCGTAACACTCTTGAAGACAGAAGAAATGGTTAAATCGAAGTAAAACAAAAAACTTTTTCAAATCAAACACACACAAGCAAATTTTGAAAATGATGAGCAAGCACCTAAGAGCCCGTGGAAAACCACAGACAGAAATGGTGCTAATACCTTCCCTTTCTATAATCTACCCCCCATACTGAAAATCTCGAAAAAAGGAATTTTTCTATGCTTTTGTCCTTTCCGGTTGGATAAAATAAAAGTCGGTGGTGACTCTTGCTTACCGCAACATTTTGCGAACACAAACGCAAAACACAAACCAGTATTTCAAAATAGTCCGGTTCTGGCCACCATATCACACTCGGCTTTGATATTTTCTGACATTTCAGGATGCATGTGACGAACCTTTTGCTTAATCGGAGAACAACCCTCTTTCATCGGCAGACGGTGAACCACAATATCAGTATCAATCCCTGGCATGTCTTCGTATGACAAAGAAAATACCTCAACATAGTTTTGCAACATCTGAATCAATCTGTTCTTGACACTATCCTCTAAGTTGGTGTCTATCTTGACTTATTTCTTATCTGTCTCAGAACCTAAGTTTACCACTTTGACTGGCTTTTCATGTGGTTGGATAGAGTTTTATTCTTGTATTAAGAGTCTGGAAAGTTCTCCAGGTATTTCATAATCTTCCACACCTTCGTCCTCGGCTTGGTAGATTGTATTTTCAAAGTCATAAACAACAATAGTTGAATCGTTATCAACGAGATCCAGAGTGGATAGGGATTGGCAATATAGTGTGTGGGTGTGTGTAAGAACACATAGCTATTTGAAAGTGAAATAAAGTAAAAGAAATATAGAGAGTGCCAAATTTGAATACAAAACGTCCAATGTTTTCATTAAATGAAAATATGACATATGAAATGACAACCCTTAACAAATGAACCATTGTACCCCGGACAAGACACAAGGTTTAAAGTCACTGTTATAAAAGAAATTACATAACCAAAGTTCTTAAAGCGATAAAACATAAATAGCTATTACTCCTGACGAAAGGAGATGGAGATAATGTCTTTCTCCTTCCAATTGTTGAGTCTGTTGCCAATGGCAGGAAAGGTCCAGCTATCGAAGTCACAATCACTATCATCATCCTCTATAACATTGACTTTGTTATTGTGATATGGAATGGTGGTCTTCCAACCTGAGCTCGACGAATAGCCCTTTGACCTTCTATAGTAAATCCCAAACCAAACTTGTCAGATTGGTAGGGGATATCAGGAAGCTGACCCCAAATTATGCAACCACCTACTTCTATAGTAGCTTTGGCATCTTTCAAGGAAGCCATCTTGAGCGAAACCCTGGTAGTCTTTGGAATGGTAGAAGCATCTTCAACAGCAACAAGGGAAATTACTATAAATCCTTGACAGGGAGTCTAGATGAATTCTCCATCCATCTCCATGTACCAAAATGAATTCAGGTGGCTTACCATGTACTCCTCCTCTCCACAGACAATGACAATCTTCCCTTTCACATGATACTTTAATTTCTGGTGTAAGGTTGAGGTAACAGCACCTGCCCTATGGATCCAAGGGCGTCCTAACAGACAAGAATAAGCTGGTCGGATGTCCATTACATAAAAAGTGGACTCAAATATCTATGAACCCACGTTGATAGGAAGATCCACTTCTCCATGTACCATTCTTTTTGATCTGTCAAAGGCGCGAACTATGATGTCGCTAGGTTTCAGCATAACCCCTTCACAATCCAATCTGTTAAGAGCGTCCTTTGGCAGAACATTCAAAGAAGAGCCAATAACAACCAACACATGATCCAACATAGCGCCCCTGCATTTAATAGAGACATACAGGGCCCTATTATGATTTCTCCCCTCTGGAGTCAGATCAACATCAGAGAAGCCTAATCCATTTTCAGTCCTTAAGCTAGCAACATAAATTCCAAATTGATCAGCAGAAATTTCTTGTGGTACATGAGAAATCTTTAAAAATTTCATTAAAGCTTGTGCATAGGCTTCAAAGAATAGTAATAAAGATAGCATGGAGATTTTGGATGGGGTTTGCCCCATCTGTTCAACAATTTTGTAATCACTTCTACGAATGATCTTTAAAAGCTCTTCCATTTCTTGTCCAAAGGTATCCTAGACTGTGGCTTCTTTTGGTTCCTTCGTCCGGGCAGGCTCTATCATTGGCTCTTTACCCCGAGCCTCAGCAGTTGTCTTGGTAACTGTGACTTGAACAGGTGGAGAGATTTCCAGAGATAAAATCCTCCCGCTTCTAGTTATTTTACTGGTCCCTGCAATATTGATGATGCTGGGATCAACCTCTTCATCATCTTCGTCAGAAAATTCTTGTTTAATTCCATGGTAATAAACGTCGAATCCATAGTTCCATGGAATAGCTTTTTTCGAGGAATATGGGATAGGTCCGGGTGTTGTAATGATTAAGGGAGAAGCTTTTGGATTGGAAGTACAAGACCCTTGGAGGTGATCTTGAAAAGATTACCAGATATGATAGACAAATCTCGACACAAATTCTCAGCATGCAGAATTTTCTCAATCAAAATTACATGTTCATCCATCAGGCGTTGAATTTCTTCCTTCAGTAACCCGTAGCCATTGGATTGAACTGAAGAGCAATAACATTCCTTAACAAAACCCGAAAATAAACCGGCTTGTAGCAAATTCTTCTTGACCGTTAAGAGAGGAGTAACTACATCACTCACAGAGGTAACATACAAAACATCTTTAATAGAACTTATGCCTTTGTCATGCTTTGGCATAGCAGCAATAATCACGTTTGGAGTCTCAGGAGGGTCGAACCCAATTTCTTTGTTATCTATCATGTCTTGAACTTTGTTTTTCAAGGCCCAACAATTATTGGTATCGTGCCCAGGACTGTTCGAATGATAGGCACACTTTGAATTTGGACTGTAATTAGAAGAGGATGTGTCCCGGTTAGGAGGAGGATCTAAGAGTGTTATGAGGTCAACCTTTATCAGATGTTGAAATGCTTGAGCCAATGGCATATTAATCCTGGTGAATTTCCTCCTCGGAGCTTCTGACCTACGTTGATTGCCTTGTTGTGATTGTTGAACAGGCGCTGGATTAGAGATAAACACCGCTCCCACATGAAATAACTGGCAGGACAATCAACTGATAATGAAATCAATGAAGTCGACATAGAATATTTTTTATCCCACAGGAAGGGAAAGGAAAACATTGAGTAAACCTGAGAAGGGTGAAATAAGGGTCAAACGACCAAGAGATACAGGTAAAGGAGTATGTTACGCGAGGGGAAGTTATTAGCACCCCACATGCCCGTAGTACTCTACGGTATCCACTCTTGTTGTTCTAATCAAAGGGTGTGTAAGAATCTATATCTAAATTGTAGAAGGAATGCATGCAAAATAAAGGAGAAAAGAATGTAGGGAAAATAAAAGTTATGCTTGCTCGGGCCCTACCCCAATGCCTACGTATCCCTTTTAAGGAATCATAGCAGCTGTAGTTCGGCTTCAAAAGTTTTGTTGGTTTGTATTTTTTAATGAACAATATTAATTTTTCCTTCTGCCGCAACTCGACCTTTGGAGATTTACACGTCAGCATAGAAGTGAATTAACATGTTCTTTTCAAAAGTGTTTCGAAAGAAAAGCCCACAGGAAAAAGAGTTTGTATTTCTTGGTGTTTTCACTTATAGATAGTGACTAATGGATCTCGAGAGAGAGATTTTAACCATTTCTCCACTTATTCATGAAATAAGTCTTTGAGACTAGAACAATACAAAAGCTTAGAATAGGGGAACAATAAGATCAAGAAGAAACCCGCTTATCATCTCTCATACTTTAACAAATATACGACTCTCACCAGTAATTTTTAAGTGTTTTAAAGTTTTCTAGAAAAAGACTTTTTTTTATTTTAATGCAAGGATGCAAAAGAAAGAAAATCATCTAAGGGAGACTAGCCTAAATCTATCCTTAATGTTATCATACAATGGTGGTCCTATGGTTGAGTTTTGAAGGGGAAATCTCTACCCTAAGTTGACATGCTTGGATAACAATCCTAATGTCTATCTCAACTCATCATCTATAGATGAATCAAGAAGTCCTAAAGGAGCATACCAAGGTTCTATCACTTAAAACTATGTCTATCTCGAATCATCATCTATAGTTTAATCGAGATCTCCTAAGGGAACATGCCAAGGGTATATCATCTCAAAACATGCACTCAAAGACGAAATCAAGCAAGCAAGCCAATAAACTCAAGAGAACATACATAGAGATACCCTATCTAGGTTAGCATGCCAAAGAAAGTCTAACAAAAAGTATCTTATGGGGAACATGCAATGAGAGCAAAGTCGTGATCTCTTTTTGGTTCTTTAGTCAATAGCTATGCCAAAACAATGGTAGCAGGCCTTGGGATTAAATAAGAAACGGGCCTATGGGTGAAGTGAGAGGCGCAGATCCCTAACAAACTCAGCATAGTCCAACACCACTAATCTCACTCAATTTTTGTTTCAGTTTATTGAAAAAACAACAAATTAAAAAAATCAAAAAGGGATTAGGGTTGCAAAGGGACATATGAGCTTCTTCTTCTTCTTTTTTCTAGCAATTCCGTCGCCACCGGGATACACATGGTTCCCTCTCCTCTTTCTTCTCCGTTCACACCTCTCCGGCCTCCTCCTATCCAACTTCATTGTTCTCTTTCAATTCCGGTCTCAAACCCTCTTGACCTCACTCGTCATCTCCAAATTGAAACGAAACACAAAGCACAATATGTCTATGAAAATGAATATTGAAGTGTCATTGAAGCAAGAGAGGGAGAACTCAAATCGTACTTTCCGGAGTCGCTCCGACGGCTTTTTAATCACGGTGGCAGAGAGAATCAGAATTTACGGACTCCAGGTAAGGCTTGATTCACACCTTCTTCCTACCGTTTTTGTTTTCTTCTTCGCGTTCCTGTTATTGCATTTGTTCTGCGCGATGATGCGAATTCAGCGCTATTGAAATTATTTAGTAACGTCATTACAAAACTGTGGTTATGATGCTGTTAAGGAAGGAGCAAGGATGATGATGATGACTGAAACAACAAGATGTTGTCGAAGATATGTCGCCACCTTGTGTTGCGGAGAAAGAGTGATGCTGTGATGATTGAAGAATATTAGAGATCCAAGGTTTTTTCAGAAAGGCAAAAATTTAAGATCGATTATGAAGATAATGAGGTGCATAGGGATTTTTTTCAGAGGGTAATTTAGAGGTTCTAGAATGGTTATAGAGGATGAAGGTTCATTATTGAAGATGAGATTGAAGATGAATAATGGAGGGATTGAATCTGGTGAGTTTTTGTGTTCTCTTTATGTGAAGAATGTGAAGATGGAGAAAGAATGCAGGGAAAGGAAGAAGAGAGGATTTTCTTTTTTCTTTGTTGAGATTTTTTACAGATTATTTCGTAAACTATCTAGAATAGATGAATCGAGGTAAGCTTCTCTTTTTATATTTATGTTAGTGTCGTTAGAAGTTAGTTAGGAATTTGGTTAAAAAAGAGGTTATGGAATTGAGTTCTGTTATTTAGAATTTGTTAACGCTATTAGTTACAGATTTTTTTTGAAGTGTTATTTGATGTTTAGAAAATTAGTTGAAAGTTAGTTACTAACTGTTTAAATGTTGGTTAAACGCTGTTAGTTTTGTTAGGAGTCGGTCGGGTTAAAAAAATGTTGTTATGACAGTTTAGAAGTAGTTAGGGATTTTATTTTTTCTGTTAGAGATCAGTTGTATAGTTTGCAAAAATTCTGTCAACTGTTTTTTAGTTTTGATGTCAATGGTTAATAATACTGCAGAGCTGGTTTATTGATGAATAGAACCTGGTTTTTTCCTTCGAATAATATCTTGATTTTTCCTCTACCGGGCTGAAAAAATGTCACGGTTTACTTTTTTTTTCTAGTTATATCTTTATGTTTTTTTCTGATATACTGACAGTGAGCTATTAATTCTTGACTTTCTGCTATTTTTATGATGTTTCTTCAGTTTGATTATTTTTGGTATGCGACGACCACTGGTGGAAGAGCCACAAGGCAATATGACGAAGATGGTTCTCCTTTAAAACGAAATGTGGCAATGTTGTAACAAGTAAAGCTGACACAAGACAAGTCCCTTTCGAACGCCGCCAGCCTGACTTCTGACAATTGACATTTTATACAGTCATTAGGTATGATGATTGTTTCTTAACTTGAGAAGCCAATTAACACGGGGCAGAAGCTAATCCAAATAACACTGAAGCAAATTAGTATAGGAACTATTCCATTGAATAAAACTCTATCAACATTAGCACTAGTAGAACCTTTGTTAGAGCTTTCACCAACACTTAGTAAAAATGTTGCTGCTAATAACAAGAACAAGGTTCCAATTTTATGAATTGTTTGTTTTTGCCTCAATTATGCAGTGAAAAGCAATATGTCTGATTTTTGTTACGCAGGCTGATTAACTAGTTTTCCTCTTTTCAGGTTCATGTACTTCTGATATAGTTTTATCAAGACAGGTGCAAGGCGGTTTTGGTCTGGTACAAGGCTTGGAAGCAAGGTGATTCACTTGGGGCTTGAGGATTGAAGAATACATGAATATGGAGAACTTTGGCATAGCATGGACTTGGAAGTTCACTCATGGAATTTTATCACCTTTAGGATTTTAGGAATTTTGTTCAAGTGCATTTTTGTAACCGTTTTTCTTTTTGGATTTTTGGAATAATGGGATTGTAATGATTTTATAATGAATGGTGAAATTGGATGAACTTGAATAATATAGTGTGAACTATAAATGGCTTTGCACTTGTAATTCACTTGAAACCAAGTAATGCAATATGATCTTGAATACAAATGTAACTTTGGGAACTCTTGAATCAAACGACAAATTATCGAGGGTGAAAACTACTTTCTTTTCATTTGATTTTGAGTTTCCCGAGAATGAAATGCTTTCCTTTATTTTTGAGTTTGATATCCCAAGTCCTTCATTGACCTTTTGTTTGTGAAATCCCAATGTCTCGCATTCTATCAATTTTGATGAACTCCCTTGCTTGAATATCTTCAAATGAACGAATATAGGTTTCCTTAAATCAACTTGAATGAATCCATGCTTAGACGTCTGCATGTCCTTAATTCAAAACCCTAATCTTCCATACAAAGCTTTTAGATTTTGATCTCAAAGCATTGAAATGAAAACCGAAGAAATTAGATTGTATCATAAGTAAGACAATCGACCAGATGAAGAGCTTTGCATCATAAAGCATACAAACCCTAATTCTTGAAGAAGGTACAACTGAATCTTCTTCTCTAGAATAGAGCTTGTGCCTCCATGACTTGAGATTCAAGCAATGAGATAGCCTTGCCTGATAATCACAACTTCACAGAGAAACCTCTTTTGAATGGTACATGATTTAGAGAAATAAACCCCAACCAAAGGATGATGTTGAGCACAATGAGATAATGAATGCCTGATTTAGTAGCCCTTAGGTGACCTCGTAGAGTAACTTGAAAATGAACATGGGAATACGGAAAAAAATATGACAAAGATGGCCATGCCTTAAAAACCTAATGAACCTCAGTTGATGAAATGCTGACAAGCACAAACTTGGTGGAGAAAACTCTTACTCTTGTCTTGAATGCATCTGAATGAGTAATAGCCCTGTAGCTTGAAGAGAACGAAACCCTCAATAACCATAGGTTACAAACCTAATTCGACATTACACTGATTGAAGGATAACAAGAAGAATCATGATTTATTGAACATATACACCTCAGTCAGTTGTAAAAACCCTAGCTTGCATGCCCACTGAACTTTTGAACTTCAGGCGCTTATTTTTTGAATGAAAATGCATGTTATGTTAGTAACCTAATGAAAAGATATGAATGTGATGCTAAGCCTAAGCCAAATATAAGTGCAATTAGGAGGAAAGAGTTTGGGGTGCAATAGCTACCCCTATTTAATTGTCTTAAACCTAAAGGTGAGATTGGTATTAGCCTTTCGAACATTCAAGGAAGAAGAAGATTAAATACTAAAAGAACCTAAAAATTTACGCTCTGAAACCAGTCAAGTATTATTATATTTTTGATTTTCTGTATTTTTTGTTCCTTTTTTTGGGAAAAAGAGGTCATCGGGGATAAATGCATGTCAAACAAGGGTTAGACACACAGAAGAGAACTTGGTTATCAAGGAATATCTGTCCGGAGTTTGTAGCGGACAGATGACAAGAAAAATATCGAAAATACATGTTCGGGGTTGGTAGCGAACACATAAGAGAAAGATATCCAAGATATATGTCTGAGTCGGTACCAGACATACATAAGATATCAAAGAAGGAAGAGACCTAACACAGCGGACTCGGCCGAAGATATCGGAGCTGTAAGAGATCTAACACAACGATCTCGACCGAAGATATCGAAGATGGAAGAGATCTAACACAGCGATGTTGACCAGATATATCAAGGAAGGAAGGAGTCTAACACGGCGATTTCAACCAAAGATATCAAAGCAAGAAGAGACCTAACACAGTGGACTCGACCGGAGATATCAAAGATGGAAGAGATCTAACACAACGATCTCGACAAGATATATCAAGGAAGGAAGAAGTCTAACACAACGACTTCAACCAAAGATATCAAAAGAAGAAGAGACCTAACACAGCCGACTCGATCGAAGATATCAAAGATGGAAGATATCTAACACAGTGATCTCGACCAGATATAGAAGATGGAAGAGATCTTACACAACAATCTCGACCAGATATATCAAGGAAGGAAGAAGTCTAACACCACAACTTCAACCAAAGATATCAAAAGAGGAAGAGACCTAACACAGCAGACTCGACCGAAGATATCAAAGATGGAAGAGATCTAACACAACGATCTCGACAAGATATATCAAGGAAGGAAGAAGTCTAACACAACGACTTCAACCAAAGATATCAAAAGAAGAAGAGACCTAACACAGCCGACTCGATCGAAGATATCGAAGATGGAAGATATCTAACACAGTGATCTCGACCAGATATAGAAGATGGAAGAGATCTTACACAGTGATCTCGACCAAATATATCAAGGAAGGAAGAAGTCTAACACAACAACTTCAACCAAAGATATCAAAAGAGGAAGAGACCTAACACAGCAGACTCGACCGAAGATATTGAAGATGGAAGAGATCTAACACAGCGATCTCGACCAGATATAGAAGATGGAAGAGATCTAACACAACAATCTCTACCAGACATATCAAGGAAGGAAGAAGTCTAACACAATGACTTCAACCAAATATATCAAAGTAGTAAGAGACCTAACACAACATACTCAACCAAAGATTACCAACACAAGTTGGACTTTAAGAGTTGCAAATACGCAAGAACTACAAAATCCATCAAACTAAAGGCATGGCGTATTTCTCCAAGAGTGGCAATTATCTGAATCACCACACACCAAGTATGGATACTCAAACACTTGAGAAGAAAGAAAGGCTATACACCGACTCTTACTCGCACTTTAATTGCAAAGGCCAACACGGGTAAAATAACCAAAGGCTTGCAATGGCAAGAGAAAACCACGACTTACTATGGAAATGGAAGATACCAATGACTCGACTGGTGGTGAATCAAAACACACTCTGTTGGGGAAATAGAATAGGGTCACCCTAAACTTGCTATGGAGATAATTCAAATATGAACACATAACAATCTGGTTACCATAAGTGAACATAAATGGCTTTTACTCATGCATGTTTGAATTTTTCAGCGTAATGCTTTGTACAATGGAAATGCTACGCATTTTGGTAGATGCAATGTAATGATGAATGTTTAGCGATGAAGTGGGGGAAAAACATCAACAATTGGATGCTGAGAAGACAATGATCTTTTGAACGACTATCTTGCACATCTGATCTTCTGTAGAGAAAAGGAAATCTGAACTTCAATGGAGAGAGTGAGTGCAAACCACCAACCTCTAAAGATCGATAACATTGAGGAAGTAACTTCCTGGAGAGAAATACTGCAAAAATAAATTACAGTTTCAGAGAAAATATTGAATTCTCATCAAACACCCAACTTCCTATGGAATAACTTCTTTATCTTCTGTTAGAAAGAGGAGAGCTTCGCTAAGGATCGTAACTTCTGGACGAAGATAAATTCTATTGGGGGGCATAAAAATTATTAAATAAAAAGAATTCTACTCAGACCATACTGGGGATAACATCGCCAGGGTAAAAAAGTATTCACTTGGGGACGAAGCAAATATCATGGGACAAAAACTCCATTGGTGATATCTCAACAAAATCTTTCGTCACCGGGGATGAAAGAGTTATGACTAGCACTCCTATGCACACCACATTGGGGAGACAAGACACTTGCTCCACTAGGGAAAGAAGAATTCGCTCCACTGGGGAATGAGTACCTCTTACACTGGGAGCCAAAATCCTTTAGATGATAACATCAAGAATATCCATCGCACTGAGTGTAACCATTTCTGTAAGATGCAAGCCTACACGAAGTTTTGTACTAGAGAGCAGAAATCGTTTTATTGCGAATGATGGTCTCCCTCACGAGGATAACAAACTAGAATCTCCCATAGGAAAACATGAGTTTCTTTAAGAACTCTGATATAGGCAAACAACATTGAAGAGAGAGGGAGTGCATCCCTCACTTAGTAGGAGAATACATACTTCATGGGGAGAACAAGTGCAGACCTCAATAGGGAAGCCATAGACCATTGACCTCAAGGGAAGTATACCAAAATCTCTGGTTGGTGAATAAAACGATTCTTCTGAGAAAATCTAGAGAGAAACAAATTGCACTGAGAAGGAGGAATTATACTCGAACGAGAGTGCGCCTTTACTGGGGAACATACTACAAAAATAAATTGCAGTTTAGAGAAAATTTTGAACTCTGACCCAAGTCCCAACCTCCTGGGGAAAAGATCCAACATTTCTTTCCAATGATAAAGAGAATCTTGCTGGGAACTGGGATCTTCTGATGTAAATCCTCAATAAAAGTGACTTCGACTGGGGGATCACAAAAATTCTTGAATAAAAGAATTCTACCCAGGCCACACGGGGGATACTACCATCAAGGGTAACAATCTTCACTTGAGAAG